TTTTAAAAATACAATCTTTTCATTCTAATAAACAATCACAAAAAAGAAATATTCGGAAAGATAACCTAGAAAGTATTTGTTTAGCCCAATTATTATTTTTTTCCAATTTTTTTTTATGCCTTTATTATCATTAGATGAAGAACGTTAAAAAAAATGATTTTGGGTATGTAAAGGCTAAGTTCTGGAAATTCACCAAATGAATGGTCTAGATTCATTGTTGGAGGGGACTCATTTTGACCATATCTAGGGTTCAAATTGAACTTTTTTTTTTAGATTGATTATTGAGATGAAGAGAGTGTTTTGCAAAATTTTGTGTCATACATAAAACAAAAATTTGGTTTTCTGAAAGTGTGGTTGCATTATACTATGATACAACTATTGTATTAGATCCACTGCCCTACATATATAGGGCAATGATTTCATGCAGCGATTGTATATTAATATGATGGAACAACCTTTAAAAACCATGTTAGGGCCATTAGTTTGATTCAAATAAAAAAGAAAAATTTTAAAAATACGAAGGTCTAATTTGAACAATCAAAAACTAAATTGCATGATTCTAATTTGAACTTACATTTTTTGGGGGGATTTTTAAAATTATATACAGAATGAGATAATTCCATTTTATATTAAGCGCTTGGGTGTTTATCATTGGAGTTGCCTAAACCAACACAAATACAGTGAAAAATCAAAATGAAGAGAGAACTTGACCCAAAAATCAATCAATAAATATGCAAATTATAGAAAAACCCTAGGATTAAAGTCGAAAAAAGAACAGTCATCAAGTTCATGTTTTAGTGGGCATGTAAATTCATATTTGAGATGAATAATATGCCCTAGAGAGAGGGTAGAGAGAGAGGGATTATTAGCTTGCTAATTCAGCAACTCATATGTAATACAAATATCAGTAAACCACATATCAAAAGAGTTAGTAACCATAACAAGCAAATAACACATCACTAATCATATACTCATATATACCACATTAGAGATAAAGTAATAATTAGACAGCCCCTCATCCAAAAACCACATTAGAATGACATTGACATGCATGTCCAAGTTCTTTCCTTTCGAAAAACATAAAAAAACCATGTTTGAGAGTGTAAAAATGGCACATAAGAGGAATTTTGAGAACAAGCAAAAATACAATGCAAGGCCACAAAATTTTTGAGCATTGTAAGAAGCATAAATGGGCCAAAACAGAGCTGCTCTATTATTACTATGTTAATCCTTGACAATTCGTCATAAAGAAATGGGCCAAAAACAGAGCTGCTCTATTATTACTATGCTACTGAGCATTGTAAGAAGCATAAATGGGCCAAAACAGTGCTGCTCTATTATTATCATTAATCAACATAAATTTTTAATTTTTAATTTGTTTTAATAGAAGTGACTTCTCCATTAGTGTTCTAATAGGAATTTTATTCAACACTTTGCAGATGTATTGTTTCTACCAAGTTTTACAAACAAGTCAATAATTGGAGTGGGTATAATGCATCAAAATGTGTTTCTAATGACAAAGTCAGTGGTTCTATAGGGTTCTATTGCAAGAGAAATAGCAACCCAGAAACAAAATTTGCTTTTTGAAAAGATCCAAAATGCTCATATAATAACCAAGGGCTTCATTACCTATCATGACCATCCCTTATTTTAGCATCAGATCTTCCACTCGCGCCTCCTTATCTTGTGAAAAATAAGCAAACCAGCAACTGCAGGAGTCCTCCATTTTCAAAATTCAGTTTTTTATAGTAGCTTTGAACTTGAATGAAATAATGGGTTCTCAAAGAGCAATCCTCCAACCAAAAAAACAGTGTCTTCTATCATTACCATTACATCCCTAATAGAGGTCTTGAGAGAGTGGGAAGGCAGGGCATGAGAGAATAGTAATGTAAGAAAGAGAGAATGGGATAGTTCCCTATGTTTTTTACCTGTGTTTCTTAGGAGAGAGAGAGTATGAGAGATGGAAAGGCATGAGAGTTAGAGGGAGAGAGAATGGGGAAGGCAAGGGGGAGAGAGAGTAGAGGCATGCCAAAGAGGGGATAGAGTCGGTGGGCCAAAATTCAAAATTCCCTCAGTTTTTGGACGGTGGCTTTTTGAGGTTATTAACAAAAAGTCTAAAATGCTATTGTATAAAGGTCTTGGTCATCAAATAATGTGAGGGTAGTAATGTAAAATGGTACTTCACAAGTCTGTATCATAGTATAATGCTACTACCCTTTTAGAAAGCTAGGTGTGTGGTATTTGTATGACCCTCTACATCTGAATAATAAATCTAGAAAAAAAAAACTACTTTTCACCCTTATTAATGGTAAAAATGAGTCTCTTTCAACAATGAATCCAGACCGTCCACTTGATGAATTTAAAGATCTAGGTATTTATGAATTCAAAATCAATTTTTTTTTTTAATATTGTTAATCTAATGATAATAAATTTATCTAAAATATTTGAAAAGAAAAAAAATCATTCTAAGACCTAAATCTAAACATCTTACCAAAACGGAAGGCCTATATCAATTGGGTTAAAAACATACTTTCTAGGTTGCATTTTAAAAATTTTACTTTTTGTGATTGTTCATTAGAATGAAAAGAGTGTATAATTTAACATTTGGATCAAACAAATGGGCCTAACATGATTTTCTAAGGTTGTTGCATTATATTACTATACAAATGCTACATGAAGTCACTCCCCACGGGCTGACTATTACTGCGTTACCAATGGCCCAGATTGAATATGGGCTAATCTGACGGTCACGACTTTATTTCATATTTGAATTTTTATTTTTTATATACTAATCCAAATCTCTTGAATATTTAGGCATG